AACAAATTTGTGTTCTACTCGTGCAATAGAGAACTACGCATAGACCTAGCTCATGATGCCACTGTTGGGGAACGTTGCAGAAAATTAAAAATTTTCCTACGGTTTCACCAAGATCCATCTATGAGTTCATCTAAGCAATGAGTCATGGGAGAGATGCATCTACATACCACTTTGTAGATCGCGAGCGGAAGCATTCAAAAGAACGGGGTTGAGGTAGTCATTCTCGTCGTGATCCTATCACCGGAGATCCTAGCGCCGAACGGACGGCACCTCCGCGTTCAACACACGTATGGTCAGCGTGAAGTCTCCTCCGTCTTGATCCAGCAAGGGGGGAGGAGAGGTTGATGATGATCCAGCAGCACGACGGCGTGGTGGTGGATGCAGCAGAACTCCGGCAGGGCTTCGCCAAGCTGCTGCGAGAGGAGGACGAGGTGTAGCAGGGGGAGGGAGGTGCCAATGCACAGGGTGCGGCTGCCCTCCCCCTTGCCCTCCTTTATATAGGCCCCCAGGGGGGCGCTGGCCCTGGGAGATGCAATCTCCCAAGGGGGCGGCGGCCAGGGGGGTGGAGTTGCCCCCAAGGCAAGTGGTGCGCCCCCCCCCCCACCTAGGGTTTCCAACCCTAGGCGCAGGGGGGCCCAAGGGGGCGCACCAGCCCACTAGGGGCTGGTTCCCCTCCGACTTCAGCCCACGGGGCCCTCCGGGATAGGTGGCCCCACCCGGTGGACCCCCGGGACCCTTCCGGTGGTCCCGGTACAATACCGGGTGTCCCCGAAACTTTCCCGATGGCCAGAACAGCACTTCCTATATCGTTTTCTTTACCTCCGGACCATTCCAGAACTCCTCGTGACGTCCGGGATCTCATCCGGGACTCCGAACAACATTCGGTTTGCTGCATACTCATATTCATACAACCCTAGAGTCACCGAACCTTAAGTGTGTAGACCCTACGGGTTCGGGAGACATGCAGACATGACCGAGACGGCTCTCCGGTCAATAACCAACAGCGGGATCTGGATACCCATGTTAGCTCCCACATACTCCTCGATGATCTCATCGGATGAACCATGATGTCGAGGGTTCAAGCAACCCCTATACTATTCCCTTTGTTAAACGGTATGTTACTTGCCCGAGACTCGATCGTCGGTATCCCAATACCTCGTTCAGTCTCGTTACCGGCAAGTCACTTTCCTTGTACCATAATGCATGATCCCGTGACCAGACACTTGGTCACTTTGAGCTCATTATGATGATGCACTACCGAGTGGGCCCAGTGATACCTCTCCGTAACACGGAGTGACAAATCCCAGTCTCGATCCATGTCAACCCAACAGACACTTTTGGAGATACCTGTAGTGCACCTTTATAGTCATCCAGTTACGTTGTGACATTTGGTACACCCAAAGCACTCCTACGGTATCCGGGAGTTACATGATCTCATGGTCTAAGGAAGAGATACTTGACATTGGAAAAGCTCTAGCAAAATGAACTACACGATCTTGTGCTATGCTTAGGAATGGATCTTGTCCATCACATCATTCTCCTAATGATGTGATCCCGTTGTCAACGACATCTAATGTCCATATTCAGGAAACCATGACTATCTGTTGACCAACGAGCTAGTCAACTAGAGGCTTACTAGGGACGTATTGTGGTCTATGTATTCACACGTGTATTACGATTTCCGGATAATACAATTATAACATGAATAAAAGACAATTATCATGAGCAATGAAATATAATAATAATCCTTTTATTATTGCCTCTAGGGCATATTTCAAACGGAGAGGAGGTGGAAGAAGGCCGGCGGTGGAGGGGATAAACGTGGAAGGAGTCTGGGGCTTGGGTTGATTTTTTTTGAGATAAATGTGGGCGGGTGGACGGTGGAGTGGGACGGTTGGTGGGGGTGGGAGTATACTAGTAATGCGGGAGCCTCACGTACGCTACAACTATTCACATAGTAGTAGCGCCGGTTTTATAATCCGCGCTACTACTATGATCTGTTCGCGGGGCACGGTTGAAGATATTTACTAGTAGCGTGTTTTTTCTGGCCACGCGCTACCAGTAAATATTAGTAGTAGCATGGTTAATATGGCACGCTACTAGTAAGTAGCAGTAGTGCGGGAAAATATAGCGCGCTACTAGTAAGCGTCTGTCTATAAGCTTTTCCCTAGTAGTGTTAGTTACTTGTTGTATCACTATTTATGCTTGTGTGGCATGCATGTTACTACCTCCGTCCGAATTTATTGGTCCATTTTGTATTTTGTGCCTAAATTTGACCGTAGATTTGATTAACAAATTATAAGTTGTATGTCATAAAACTTATATTGTTGGATTTATATTTGATAGAAATTTCTAGTGATATTATCTTTGGGTATATAACTTATTTTTAATAGTTAAATCAAAGGTCATATTTCACCCAAACTAATAAAACAGGACGGAGGTAGTACTACTTAGAGCAACTCCAACAGCCGCGCTAGATATCGCGTGCATGAAAAAAAACTATATTTAGCACGGGCAGGCCGGTTTGGCGCGCTCTAGCAGGCACGGGAGAATCCGACATGGAAAAAAGGGTGCGCATGCGTGAAAAAGCAACCCAGCGCGCGGCAGTTTTGGCGCGGGGCGTCAGGCGCGCTCTATAAAACACACACGCGCGAGCCCACCAACCGCCACTCCATCGCCTCCTTCTTCCCCACCGCGCTCTTCTTCCTCGCCTCCAGCGCCCCATCGCCGCCGCCGTGCCCTTCTTCCCATGCTGCCACGCCTTCTTCCCCACCGTCGACATGTTGCCGTGCGCACGGAGCAGCTCCGACTACCACAGTGTCCGCGCCCACCCCTCCGGCGTGTATTACGCGTAGATCCGCTCTGGTGATATACGTCCTAGGTCTCGGGACGTTCGAGACCATCCACGAGGCCGCCCGCACATACGACGCGGCGGTGGGGCGCCTCAACCGGCCACGTTCGCAGATGAATTTCTCTGACGCTCGGATGAGCTAGCAGGCGCAGGATCTCATGCCTCCGCCGAGACTAATCACCAACGAGGACCGCCGCATCCAGCGTAGGCGGGAACACCGCCTCCTCATCGCCGAGGCGGACGAGTACGCCATGGCTGAGTGGTGCCAGCGCTTCTCGGAGGATGTCGCTGCCGAGAACATCTTCTGGGTGCAGAGGAGGGCGCAACGAGCCGCGGATCGGGCGGACAGGCGTGTGCGAAAGGCACTGGCGATATCGCAGTGCGAACTAGGATCTGCGTCAACCTTTGACGACAATGATCCTCGGTGGGATGACGCCTTTATGTCGTCGAACTACACTATCGAGGAGGAGGACGGCAACGAGTAGTAGTTTCTAGTATATTTGCATCGTAGTATCGTTTTTATCTATTTTTATTTGTATTGTATGGACTAGTTTGTGGTGTTGGGCTTGAACTATGCTATTTGAATTTTATCTATATGTTGTTTCATATTGTTCGTATGTGTTGCATCGTAGTACCGGTTGCTCGCGCGGTGGATTTTGCAGCACCTGCTGGAGCTGCTCGTGCATGCCATATTTTACAGCGGCCGCTGGAGGCAGCGCTATGTTGCACGCAAAAAGAGGCTATTTCAGCGTTGTAAAAATGTTTTAGGGTGCCGCGAGGTTGTGCAACTGTTGGAGATGCTCTTATATTACTCCCAACATGAGTAGTCCAATGCATGTACCCGGATATTTTTTTGTTTTGCTTCAATTTTCAACTTATACATGAAAGATACAATTTTCAATTTATTTTAACTAATGATAAACAAATTATCTTACTATGTATAGTAGGAACCATAAACACACTACCTAGATTGATGAAACCAGCATAATTTTATTTTATACAAATTCCCATAGCAACATTCGGAGCATTCATCTAGTAATTGAAGTTTATATGCTAAGACCTACATAATCTAATAAATATGACACAGAAATATATTTTATAAAGAATCTCATGAGAGTACTTCAATCTTCTACTACCTCCACTCCTAAATATAAGACGTTGAATTTTTTTCTATAAATTTGATCAAAACTTAAGGACGCGCCCACACGTGTAGGCGTTAAAGGATCTGGTCACACACCGTGTGTGGTGTGAGCAAGAGGCAGCCCACACGGGTTGTGTGTGGGCGGACATTAGAATTGCCCACACATATGGGCGTCGCTACTTCGTGCCATACGCCCAACAAGTACTACTCGTCTCCATCCCGCGCGTGTGCCACGAAGCAAAAATGTCCAGACGTCCTAGCGCAGCTACATTAGGTACCCGCGGGATGACGATTTAGTTGCCATCCTGGTTGGCAGATGTAGTTATCCGGGGTGGCAAGTGTAGTTGTAAAAGTATGACAACTTTATCTGTTTTGATTAACTATATAGTTATCATGTCTAATTTATGGTAGTTGCCGCGTGTAATCAAACCGTAGTTACACATGGTCAAACAATAGTCGCCACGTGTGTTTACCTAGTTGTCACGTGTGGTCCAACCATAGTTGCCATGTACAGTTAATTGCAGTTGCCATGCGTGTTTATTTGGTTGCCACATACGCGCAACTGCAGTTGCCGTCTAGCGAAAGAATCACAGTTGCCATGTTTTACCTAGTTGCCACGTTCGCGTAACTGTAGTTGCCATCCACAACGTAGGAAGTGTTGTGTGGGTGAAAATCAGTTCGCCCACACGCGCATGAACTAGGTAGTGGTTGTCTGGGCATAAATTAATTCGCCCACACAGCGCAGCTCGCAACAGCGTGATGCGGGGCGTGTGGGCAAACTCTCCAACGCCCATACACCAGCTCCGTCCTACGTGGCACACCAAATCCATTTTTTCGTCTCAAGATTCGTGCAAAAGACAATCAACGATCATTCAGGCGTGTGGGCGAGTTGGAGAACGCCCACATGTGTGGGCGTTAGTGTTTTCGAAACTTAAATATGTTTGACTAAGGACAAACCCAGAAGGCCAACTGTAATTATTGGTCGCATTTGATGTGCGGGGATGACGTTTAGTCCACTTCTTGTCCAGATCCCGACGTGGCCAACGAAGACTTGTTAGCATCACTCATCCGGAGCTGCACTTGAAGCCCGCCTTTAATCTTCATCGTGCCGGTCATCTCGTACGCCGGCGGCGACTCCATACTGGCCGTCGGTGCCACCACGTCCAACCTGAACCTCCGAAGGACGGCTGACGCGACCGTCTTCATCTGCATGTAGGCCATCTCCTTCCCGAGACACGCACGCGGCCCGGCGTGGAACACCGGATAACGCGCCGCGTCCACTGGCGCGAACTCGCCGCTGTCACCGAGCCAGCGCTCCGGCGCGAACTCCAGGAAGTTCTCGCCCCACAGCTTCTCCATCCGCCCCATCGCGTACGCCGAGTAGTTGGCGTACCAGCCGGCGCGCACCGCCGTGCCGTCCGGGAGGACGTCCTCGGCGACGGCTACCCGCCCGTTGAAGGGAACCGGCGGGTACAGGCGCATCGCCTCGGTGATCGCGGCGTGCAGGTAGTGCATGCCTTTCACGTTGCCGTCCGGCGACCGCGACACCTCGTCGTGGACGCGCCGCTCGCACCGCGGGTTCGCGGCGAGGAGCCAGAAGAACCACGTCAGGGCCGAGGTCGTCGTGTCCTTGCCGGCGAGAACGAAGCTGACGACCACGTCCCGCAGGAATCGGCGTTTGGCCTCCGGCGTGGGGAACATGGCGGCGAGTTCACCGCCGCCGTCCTCCTCGTCCATGGCCGCCATGAACCGGGAGAGCAGGTCCGGATCGCCCTCATCGCGGCTGTTTCTCTGGCTCACCTCCTTGGCTTCGATGACGGACATGGCGTGGTCGTCTATGACGCCGACGGCTTCTCGGAGCCGGCGCGACTTGCCGATGTTGAGAAGCTTCGTGAGCTTCCGCACCGGTGTGGGCGCCGTCAACGTCCTCATGAAGGAGATCTCGACGGCCGTATCGAACGCCGCGAAGAGCGCCTGGTGCCGGGGGTCACCCCACTCGAGGAGCGTGGAGCTCTCGACGCCGAAGGCGACGTAGCAGATGTTGTCAAACGCGAACCGACGCAGCGCCTCCTGCAGGTCGACGACCTCGCCGGACCCCGCGGCGGCATCGAGGAACGGCAGGAAGCGACGGCCGAGGTGAACGGCGAGGACGTCTTCGCTGAAACGCCGTAGCGAGCGGGAGGAGAAAGCGTATGACGCCAGCTTGCGCTGGAGGCTCCAGAGGCGGCCATCGGCGCCGAAGAGGCCGTCGCCGATGAGGTCGGACTGCGCCGCGCGGAATTGCGCGCCACGGTTGTAGTTGGCGAAGCTTGCGCGCAGCAGGTGGTCGACGGCGGCCGGGTCGGCGGTGGTCACGGCGTGGCTGGCGCCCAAGGCCCCCCACGCCTCGATGGTGTTGGACGGCGACGCGCGCAGCATGTCGGCGTACCAGTCGAAGAACCTCCCGCGGTTGCGGATGAACTCCACGGTGTTGCCCAGAACGGGGTTCGGGTGAGGACAGTACGCCGTTCTTGGCTTCGTCGACGGAGAAACTCGGCGGCGCTGGACATAAAGTACGACGGCGGCGAAGAGGAAGAGGAGCACGTACGCGAGGTGCGCGATCTCCATGGTTGATCCCTGCTCAGGAAACTTGTGATTCGGGAAGCCGGTCGCTACTTTTACTGCTACGCGCGCCAAGACCGTTGAACGTCCACGGTCCATCCCGTCGATATCTTCCTTTCTTATGGTGCAACTATTTTATTTTATTTTCTCGCCGCCCGGCAATGGAAAATGGACAGTTGGACACACAACATCGCATGACCTGTGACAATTCTAAAAAAAAAAACGTATGGCCTGTGACAAGCGATGCGCTGAAATATCTCGGGCGGTGCTTGCGAAATTCCTCCCTCATCAAAGGTTTCATCATGTGTGCGACGGTGGGCTGTTGCTGCTGCGATCGAGGCAAATGAAAGAGACAACATATCTCTACTTCTATAAAAATGCGAGTTGGTGATGATGGTGTGCCTGCCTTCGGGCCTTATGGACCATCCGATCTCGAATCTATGGTTGAGATCGGGACTGAGACATGTTGTGCCGAACCAACCACCAAAACAGGGGATAGTCTGGAGGTTTCTCGTTCTCTCGTGAAATGGATCTCCGGCGCCGCCACCCACCCTCTGTCCTCCG